CCATCCTCCACTGCACTCCCTGGCCACAGCAGAGAGCTGGCCTGGAAGAGGGGCAACTGGGACAGAATCCGGCGCCCTGACAGGGACTAGAACCCGGTGTGCCGGCGCCGCAAGGTGGAGGATTAGCTTATGAGCCGCGGCGCCAGCTATATCATAGGACTTTAAAAGCAGTTGGTGTTATAGTGGTTCTCAGGTAATCACGCACACATATGCACACACACATACACACAAATTGGTAGAGTACTCTGGATATTAGATTTCTCCCTGTAATCTTGTATAATGCACCATTCACAATTTGCAGTGTTTTGAACACTACGTAAATTGGACATGGCCAAATTAGAGATGTCTGACTGAAGTCTTATAAAATATTTGGGAACTTCAGCTACATTCCCCAAAAGACTGCTTTTTAAACCATAAAAAATGAAAATTCATGTAAAAGCACAACAGATTTAACAGACATCTTTAAAATAAATCAAATTGCAACTCAATTTTCTACTTTTTCAAGTATGACTAAGAAAGTTACAAGCAATGTCTACATTAAAAAAAAAAACTCAACTGGGTGAATTTGGGAGGGGGAGGAAACTATACAGTATTATTGCACTCCACGAAATGTGCAGAATTCCAAAATGTGCTAGCACTGAAAAACCATCTTGCATTGAGGTTTTCCAAGTGGTACAAAGAGCCTGCCAAAAAAGCATCTGGTCTGTACTAACTGTCTTTAGTACAGGCCTTCATAACGTCAGTCACGCTGCTCTTGCAAAATCCCTTAGTGTAAAAGAGTTTTCAGTGCTGATAGGTGGGGCTGTGACCCATGGTGTGGGATTGAATCCATATGCACATTGAGCTTCATTTAATTGTCAAGACTTTGAACAAGTTGTTGCATGGATGGAAGGTTACCAGATTCCAGTTTAGACCATACAGGTACATCATCTAAAGTTACCTCAAATGTACCTGCTGACATACACTGGTTCTCAATCATGTTGCTCAAGAAGAAAAGCATCATACATGCATAGACCTTATTTTCCTGGTCCCACTGCCAGATGCTAGGAGCTTGCATGCCAAAGAAAGCAAAAGTATCTTTGCCAACAATTATTAAGCCTATTAATAGTTGTCTGAAGACAGACAGGAAAGATGCTATGTGTCTGTATATTGGTTGAGGGAGGTAATTCTCTCCTTCAATTTGGATGTCTGGGTACCGCTGGCTAATAACCCGCATGTACTCCTCAAACACCCTCAGGCCTATACCCTCAGGAAACACAGATCTGGAACTTCAGCAGCAAACTGCAGCTTCAATCTCTTGCTGGGCATACCGCCCTGGTTGGCCGAGGCCTTGCTTTGGGCCACTGCCAACGCCACCACCAGGAGAAGCAGCAGAAGCCTCATCTCTCTTCTTTTTTTTTTTTTTTTTTTTTTTTTTTTGACAGGCAGAGTGGACAGTGAGAGAGAGAGACAGAGAGAAAGGTCTTCCTTTGCCGTTGGTTCACCCTCCAATGGCCGCCGCGGCTGATCCGAAGCCAGGAGCCAGGTGCTTCTCCTGGTCTCCCATGGGGTGCAGGGCCCAAGTACTTGGGCCATCCTCCACTGCACTCCCTGGCCACAGCAGAGAGCTGGCTTGGAAGAGGGGCAACCAGGACAGAATCCGGCACCCCGACCGGGACTAGAACCTGGTGTGCCAGCGCCACAAGGCAGAGGATTAGCCTAGTGAGCCGCGGTGCCAGCCAGAAGCCTCATGTTAATTAAGCCAGCTGCTCTGGCCGCCCTCAGACAGACTGCAGCCAGCTCCCATAATTTCTTTATCCGGTCTGCAGTTGATGGACATCAGGGTTGATTCCATATCTTAGCTATTGTGAATTGAGCGGCAATAAACATGGGGGTATATATCACTCTTTCATATGCTAATTTCTTTTGGTTTGGGTAAATTTCCAGGAGGGGGATGGCTGGGTCATATGGTAGGTCTGTATTCAGATTTCTGAGGTATCTTCATACTGTCTTTCACAGGGGTTGGACCAGTTTACATACCCACCAAAAGTGAATTAGGGTACCTTTTCCCCCACATTCTTACCAGCCTTTGTTGTTTGTTGATTTCTGTATGAAAGCCATTCCAACTGGGGTGAGGTGAAACCTTCATTGTGGTTTTGATTTGCATTTCCCTGATGGCTAGTGATCCTGAACATTTTTTCCAAGTGTCTGTTGGCTATTTGGATTTCCTCTTTGAAAAATGCCTGTTAAAGCCCTTTGTCTGTTTCTTAACTGGATTCTTTGTTTTGTTGTTGTTGAGTTTCATGAACTCTTTAAAGATTCTGGAGATTAATCCTTCATCAGTTGCATAGTTTGGAAATATTTCCTCTCATTCTGTCAGTTGCCTCTTTGCTGAGTGTTTCTTTTGCAGTGTAGAAACTTCTCAATTTGAATAATCTCATTTATCCATTTTGGCTTTGAGAGCCTGTGTTCTGGGGTCTTTTCCAAGAAGTCTTTGCCTGTGCCAATGTCTTGCAGGGTTTCCCCAGTGTTCTCTAATAATTTGATGGTATCGGGTCATAGGTTTAGGTCTTTGATCTATGTTGAGTGGATTTTTGTGAAAGGTGTAAGGTAGGGATCTTGTTTCATACTTCTGCATGCAGAGATCCAGTTTTCCCAATAACATCTGTTGAAGAGACTGTTCTTGTCTCCTGCTTAGTGGGAGCATACTGATGTGGGAGCCTCTGATTTAGGGATCCTTCTAGCATCCCAGCTCCGTGCCTTTCTCCAATTTGAAGATCGCCTCAGGTCTGGTAATGCAGTGCTCACAGGCCAGCAGGCTGCTATAGCCCTCCAGCACCACAGCCCCGCACAGCCTTAGAGCACTGTCCAGGTCCTGCCAGTGCTCCCACATGAAGTTCACAGCCACGTCCTCAAATGCCCCCAACACTGTGAGAGAACATGTGCTGAGCCACAGTGCCAGTCTCAAGTTGGAAATCTTACAGTGTGTTCTCTCAACCATGCTTCTGGTCAAAGCGTGAGGAGTGACATGTGCTGAGGGCCGCCTTTGGCAGCATGCTGAGGTGGCCCAGGGCACCACGTGGCAAGAAACAGCACACATGGGTCTCTTCTAGTCTCTGTCGTGATTTAGTCATTTTCCTTGGTGTTAGAAACACAGAGAGGAGTCCAGAATTATACAATTTCCCACTTTTGCTGTCTCGGTTTCGTTTACAGAGCAGTGGAGGCTGAGCCACCACAGGAACACTCTCCCCACTGGAGCCTGGATGCAACTCCACAGTGACACCGTTCCCATCTGCTTTGCTCAGAGAAAGCACAAGAGAGTAATTAAATGAACAGCGGATTTTCTGTGATCTAGCGACAGAGAACTCTAATGACATTCCTTTGATGACTGTTTAGGAATAAACTAAAACAGTTGCCAGGGGAGAGAAGTTCCAGGGAGAATGGAGAAGAATGTGGCAGGAGCACCCCCAAGGGATGGTTCCCAACGTTGGGGTAATGGTATTTGTCTCTTAGAGTGGTCTGGGGCTGGATATGACATTTTGTGTAGAAACTCGATAAAAATTAGATCTAAGAGAACAGAGATGAAGTCATAATTGGAAAACCAATTCTCTTTTCATGCGCAAGAGCTATTCTGGGAGCAGATGATAAACTGAAATTACTATGACTCATACTGTTGCAGGAATGAAGTGGGAAGTTAGGAGAAAAGACTGAACAAAGGGGCAAACTCCAAGATGTTTTGTGAAAAAATGGTTTTTAGTGTCTCAAATTTAGTTTTATAAAGTTGTGCCTAGTTACTTTAAGTTAGGATTAAATACTTTTTTTTTTAAAAAAAAAAAAACATGTTTATGGGGCTGGCGCTGTGGTGCAGCAGGTTAAAGCACTGGCCTGAAGTGCCTGCATCCCATATGGGTGCTGGTTCTAGTCCTGGCTGCTCCTCTTCCGATCCAGCTCTCTGCTATGGCCTGGGATGGCAGTAGAAGATAGTCCAAGTCCTTGGGCCCCAGCCCCCACATGGGAGACCTGAAGGAAGCTCCTGGCTCCTGGCTTCAGATCGGTGCAGCTCTGGCCATTGTGGCCAATTGGGGAGTGGACCAAAGGATGGAAGATCTCTCTCTCTCTGTCTCTACCTCTCCCTGTAACTCTGTCTTTCAAATAAATAAAATAAATCTTTAAAAAATGTTTATTTATTTATATATATTTCTCTACCAAAAAAAAAGCAAAAATATTGGAGTTTTAATTTTTTACCATAAGAAATGTTAAATGTTTGAAGAAATAAATGTATTTACCCTGATTCAACATTAAATAGCATGTAGGATCCCATAAATAAATTTTATATATCTATGAAATTTTAAATAATCTTGGGGAAAGAGAGGTCTTTAAACAAATGGCATTTATAATTTGTCTTCTACTAATAGTTTCCACTAGTAACTTTGGTTTTCTTCTCTGTAGACATATTTGAAAAAATAAACTATTTCCAAATACAGATTTTGAATTTTTTCTTTTTTTTTTAATTTTATTTAAGGAATACAAACTTCATGCATATCATATATTCAAATTTAGGAACATGGTGATTCTTCCCACCCTACCTTCCCTCCCACCCACATTCCCAACCTTCTTCCTCATCTCTCTCCTATTCCCACTCTTAATTTTTACAAAGATCTATTTTCAGTTTCCTTTATACTCATAAGATTAACCCTACAGTAACTAAAGAGTTCAATAAATAGTACAGGGAAAAAAAAATTCCATTTTATTTTATTTTCACAATGGATACCTAAACTTGACATATTTTCACAATGGATACCTAAACTTGACACTCATGCTTGTCTATTTTAATCTGTTAATTTCTTAAATTTATAAATTTTTATTTCTTCCTTCAACCATAAGTCATTATCTTTCTTGTGTGCTTCTTTGATCTCCCTATGAAACCATGAATATATTTTTTATAAATTTTATTTTGGATATGGATGTAGATTTTCTTTTTTTTTTCTTCTTTGAGTCTTACTTTTTTTTTTTTTTAAAAGGGGCCAGTGCTGTTGCATAGTGGGTAAAGCCGCTGCCTGCTCTGCTGGCATCCCATATGGGCTCCGGTTCTAGTCCTGGCTGCTCCTCTTCCAATCCAGCTCTCTGCTGTGGCCTGGGAAAGCAGTGGAAGATTGTTCAAGTCCTTGGGCCTCAACCCCCACGTGGGAGACCTGGAGGAAGCTCCTGGTTCCTGGTTTCAGATCGGTGCAGCTCCATCCATTGCAGCCATTTTGGTGATGAACCAGCGGATGAAAGACCTCTCTCTCTCTGGTTCTCCTTCTCTCTCTGTGTAACTCTGACTTTCAAGTAAATAAATAAATCTTAAAAAATAAAAAGACAAAAATATACTTTATATAGTTAATACAAATTATATTATTATTTTAATGTTTCATATTATTTGCATCATTTTCTGGGTTTTCTTCTCTTCTTATTTGAATAATTCCTTTAAAAATGTTTTCAAATGCATACTTTGTGTTACAAGCATTCTGAGGTATTCCTTTGTTTTACTATCATATTTAAATGCCTAATTTTTTTCTTTAAGAAAGAACAGATTAAATTTATCTTAACCCAATGTATCCAAAATGTATCCAAAGTATTAACATGTGATCATTGTAATCTGCTATGTATAAGTATTTTACACCTTTTTTTGGACTAGTTTCACTTCAAGTGGAAATGCCTGATTTTTAAGGTGTATATTTAATAAATCCCGTGTGCTGTAAGTTTTCAATTGCCATTTTCCACATTATAGGAAACATTACTTCTTTTTCTTTTTTCCCTTTCTTTTCACCTGTGATTTTGATTATCTAGATTTACTTTAGTATCTGAAGTTGTAGTTTAGCTATCAATCAACCAATCATTATTATTTATTCTTTTCCTATCCATCTGAACTCTTTTTTTTTTTTTTTTTTTTTTTTGACAGGCAGAGTGGATAGTGAGAGAGAGAGACAGAGAGAAAGTTCTTCCTTTGCTGTTGGTTCACCCTCCAATGGCTGCCGCGGCCGGTGCACCGTGCTGATCCGATGGCAGGAGCCAGGTGCTTCTCCTGGTCTCCCATGGGGTGCAGGGCCCAAGGACTTGGGCCATCCTCCACTGCACTCCCTGGCCACAGCAGAGAGCTGGCCTGGAAGAGGGGCAACCAGGACAGAATCCGACGCCCCGACCGGGACTAGAACCCTGTGTGCTGGCACCGCAAGGTGGAAGATTAGCCTAGTGTGCCGCAGCGCCGGCCCATCTGAACTCTTTATAGTTCTCTATTGTGTTATAGGAAAGTTCATCAGATCTAATTTTCCAGTTTATTATTTTTGCTTTGATTTATATCTCCTGCTATTAGTCTCCTTTGCTTTATTCTTTATTGTATTTTTTTTTTTTTTAATTTTTTGACAGGCAGAGTGGAGTGAGAGAGAGAGACAGAGAGAAAGGTCTTCCTTTGCCGTTGGTTCACCCTCCAATGGCCGCCGTGGCCGGCGCGCTGCGGCCGGCGCACCGCGCTGATCCGATGATGGCAGGAGCCAGGAGCCAGGTGCTTTTCCTGGTCTCCCATGGGGTGCAGGGCCTAAGCACCTGGGCCATCCTCCACTGCACTCCCTGGCCACAGCAGAGAGCTGGCCTGGAAGAGGGGCAACCGGGATAGAATACGGCGCCCCGACCAGGACTAGAACCCGGTGTGCCGGCGCCGCTAGGCGGAGGATTAGCCTAGTGAGCCACGGCGCCGGCCTATTCTTTATTGTATTTTTAACATTACTTTTTAAAACATTTAAAAACCTCATTACTTTTTAAAAACAATTTTATTTAAGGTATACAAATTTCTTGTATTTCATATATACAGATTTAGGAACACAGTGATACTCTCCACCCTACCCTCCCTTCCACCCATGCTCCAACTCTTCCTCCTCCCTTTCCTGTTCCTACTCCTAATTTTTACAAAGATCTATTTTCAGTTTACTTTATACTCATAAGGTTAACCCTACACTAAATAATGAGTTCAGCAAATAGTATGAAATAAAAAAACACCACTACTCCTCAATAGTTGAGACAAGGGCTGTAAATAATCATTGAATCTCAAAATGTCGATTTCATTCCAACATATTTACATTTTAAGTACTCTATTAGTTACTCCAGATCAGGGGAAACATACGATGTCTGTCTTTTTGGGACTGGCTTATTTCACTAAGTATAATGCTTTCCAGTTGTGTCCATTTTGTTGCAGAAGACAGGATTTCACTTTTAAAAAAATCACGGAGTAGTATTCCATAGTGTATATACACTATAATTTCTTTATCCAGTCATCAGTTGATGGACATCTGGGTTGATTCCATATCTTAGCTGTTGTGAATTGAGCTGCAATCAACTTGGGGGTACAGATAACTCTTTAATATGCTGATTTCATTTTGCTTGGGTAAATTCCCAGGAGTGGGACGGCTGGGTCATATGGTAGGTCTATATTTAGATTTCTAAGAGATCGCCATCCTGTCTTCCACAGGGGCTGCACCAGTTTACATTCCCATCAACAGTGGATTAGGGTACCTTTTCCCCCACATTTTTGCCAGCATTTATTGCTTGTTCGTTTCTATATGACAACCATTCTAACCAGAGCATACCTCATTACTTTTAATGTTTTCTCTTTTATTTAATAGTTATCTCCCAATTATATTTTTAATGATTTATTTGCTTATTTGTTTGAGAGAGAGTGCTCCCATCTGCTGGTTCATTTCTGAAATATGCACAGTGGCTGGGGCTGTTAAGAGCAGTATCAGGTCTCCCATGTGGGTGGCAGGAACAAAATTACTAGTGTCATCACTATTGCATCCCAGGATCAATGTTAGCAGGAATCTGAAATCAGGAGCTGGAGTTGGGAATTGAACCCTGGTATTCTGATGTGGGACACAGGCTTCCTAGCCACTGGGAGACAGACAGATGCCTTTCCTGCCACCCAAACTTTCAAAGTACCTTTTATTAATAAATTGTCCAGTGTGTCCTAGTGGGTTAGTTGCTCACATGGGTGGTTGTTTTAGATCCAGAACTATGCTGTCTAGTGACGGGGAGAAAGCCTGCGTCCTGGTTTATGACCTGAATAAATTTAAAGAAATGATCCTCAGGCCAGAGAGCCCAGGCCATTGCAGAATTGCTCCTCTTTGTAACGACATACTTCACTTCTTAAAAATAGGCCCCCCCCCCCACTTTTTTTCTTTCGAATTTTGTTTTAAACACTTTGTAAGAAAGTGGTCTTGGGAGAAGACTAACCTCTTTGGATTTGAAATCTATAATTCCACAAGCTTCATTGCTTCAAGGAGAAGCAATGGAAAAAGGAACACCAGGTGTGGCCTAAAGGGCTCACTCATTTTCATGATTTCACATTTCATGTTTGCACTGCTATGATATTAGGTTGCTAAAGGCGTGTCTTTTGACTTGTCTATATGATAGTGACAGGAAGAATAAACTCCCCAGTTCATGTATTTAGCTGTGGAACACTATAGAAGCTGAGCCTCACAATGACAGAAGCCATTCCTTTTGATTGTTTATGCTTTAGGTCATATTGTAAGTTTGCATTAATGTAACGTCAGCTGGAGGGACAGTTTCAAAAGCCTATGACTTATCTCCTTTTTTCTTTTGGAATGAGCTCTTTAGAAGGCGATATGTTCCTTTCCAAGTCAATTTTTTCTTCTTCTTTGTTTAAAAAGGTTTATTTCTTTATTTGAAAGGCAGAGTTATAGGAGGCGGGGTGCGGGGGGGGAGAGAGAGAGAAGAGATTGAGGTTGGGAGATTGATTGATTTTCCATCCATTGGTTTACTTCCCAAATGGCCACAACAGCCAGGGCTGGGACACGCTGAAGCTAGAAGCCAGGAGCTTCATCTGGGTCTCCTATGTGGGCATCAGGGGCCCAAGCATTTGTGCCATCTTCTTCTGCTTTTCCAGGTACATTAACACGGAGTTGGATCAGAAGTGGAGCAGCTGGGACTCAAACTGGTACTGGATGCTGGCACTGCTGGTGGCAGCTTAGTGTGCTGGTGCCACAATGCCAGCCCCCCCAAATTCATTAAAAAATTTTTTTTGACAGGCAGAGTGGACAGAGAGAGAGAGAGAGACAGAAAGAAAGGTCTTCCTTTTGCCGTTGGTTCACCCTCCAATGGCCGCCGCGGCCAGCGCACTGCGCTGATCCGATGGCAGGAGCCAGGTGCTTCTCCTGGTCTCCCATGGGGTGCAGGGCCCAAGCACCTGGGCCATCCTCCACTGCACTCCCTGGCCACAGCAGAGAGCTGGCCTGGAAGAGGGGCAACCGGGACAGAATCCGGCGCCCCGACCGGGACTAGAACCTGGTGTGCCGGCGCCGCAAGGCAGAGGATTAGCCTAGTGAGCCACGGCGCCGGCTGCTTCAATGGCTTTTAAATGACACATTCTTATTTACTGTTAGATATAGATGGAATATCTAATGAATTATTTAGTAATTAAAATATCAAATAGTTCAATTTATTTTTTATTTTTTTTTTTATTTTTGACAGGCAGAGTGGACAGTGAGAGAGAGAGAGAAAGGTCTTCCTTTTGCTGTTGGTTCACCTACCAATGGCTGCCGTGTCCAGCGCGCTGCGGCTGGCGCACCGCACTGATCCGAAGCTAGGATCCAGGTGCTTCTCCTGGTCTCCCATGCGGATGCAGGGCCCAAGCACCTGGGCCATCCTCCACTGCACTCCCGGGCCACAGCAGAGAGCTGGCCTGGAAGAGGGGCAACCGGGACAGAATCTGGCACCCCGACCAGGACTAGAACCCGGTGTGCCGGCGCTGCAGGCGGAGGATTAGTCTAGTGAGCTGCGGCGCCGGCCCCAAATTCATTTTTAAATGCTAAGGTTAAGAAGGATGGGTGAAGTCTTAATTAGTGCCCTTAAACTTTGGCTTATACAAGGCGTTGACCTCTGTTTCAGCACAGTCCTTCATCTCCAGGGCACGTGAAGGTGATGTTGACCCCGTTCTAACTACCAATTCTAATTCTGATACTGGTGCCAAGTATTCTGAGGGCTTCATCTGAAGTTTAGGTAAGACCGTCACTGACCTAGTTGTTCAAGGAAGCAACCGGACACAAGGGGTGTGGAAATATGCTGGTGTTGTTGCCAATTGATCCCAGATAACATAGCCATATTTTTGCAGTCCCAGTTATATTAAATCAATCATTTTATAAATATTCAATCTAGTTAAGCTATAGTTAGTTCCTTGAAAAGGATACTACTTACAATTGTTGTGTGGCTGTAAAGGAGATCATCATTTAAAGCTTAATAAGTACTGGCTGGCTTTTAATATTTAACATCTATGATCTCATGCAATGCTCAAAATTACCCTATAAGAGAGATATTATTATTATTATTATCCTATTTTAGAGTTGAGAAAGGTAAGCCTCAGGGTAAATAACTGTTCCTCTGTGATTTTTTTTGAAGATTTATTTATTTATTTGAAAGTTGGAGTTACAGAGAGACACATGGGGAGTGATGAGAGAGAGAGAGAGAATCTTCTGCCTGCTGGTTCACTTCCCAGATGGCTGCAAGGCTGGAGCTGGGCCAGGCTGAAACCAGGAGCCCAGAGCTTTTTCCATGTTTCCCATGTGAGTGCAGCGGCCCAGGAACTTGGACCATCCTCCTCTGCTTTCTCAGGCACATCAGCAGGGAGCTGGATCGGAAGTGAAGCAGTCAGGACTTGAACCGGCACCCATATGAGATGCTGGCACTGCAGGCTGTGGCTTTAACCTACTGGGCCACAGTGCCGGCCCCTCCTCTGTGATTCTGTCTTTGCTTCCACTTTGCAATAAGGTTTGGTAGAAATGTGGATGTGGAGGAACATAATAATTTAGCTGTGGCTGTTCAAGAACATTTTTCTACTAATTGAAAAGTATCCAAAATATCTCAGTGAATTTGGAATAAATTGAAACTGATCACTAATCTCTAGCTGGTCATCAGAGACAATCAAATATTCCAAAAAGCAGCAGGTTTACATAAAAGAGTCTTTATTTAAAAATACTATACAATCTCAATATTTTTCTCTTGTTCTGAAAATTTTCTCTCATTTTTCGTACAATCTAGTTTGTTCCTTATGTGTTTGAGAAGCACTATTTCACCCAACTCATTACTGTATACAAATTAGGTTATGTTTCACTTGGAATTCAAGTAAAAAACAACATCCTACAATGCATTATGATATTATTAAACTATGTACAAGTCAGACGTTAACAGGTGCCTTTGCTTGAGTTGAAGTTGAGCTCTATCATTACCTGTTCAAATCCAAGTTTCTGCAACCTTGAATCCACCTGTGTAGAGTTTTTGGTGGGGTAACCTACTCCCACATGGTTTCCAAGACTCATAATTTGGATCATCTCAGACATAAAACTGTGTTGATACTTTCCATTCATTTTTACTTTACAGATAGTCATCCATAGTTTATATTAAAACCAAAAGCAAAAGTTTGGGGTAAAAGTTAAAGGAGTGGAGTCAGGTCATAGAATTTGTCTTTTCTAATATCCAATGACAGCAAACAAAAAGATGAAAAGAGAATTACAAGAGGAAGAAAAAAGTCATCAGAACCCACCAAAGGGAGAGAGAAAGCAGATCTCACGCCATTATCGTAAACAGATGTTGGCTAAGAAAATAAACCAAAGATCCTGCCTGTGGATGTGAGTGGCTTCCAGCCTTGCCTCTGGAGACCTTGTCTAATAATAACCTGTAGAAAATGCAGTTGTAAGCAAACTCTTGAGAATTTTCTCCTCATTTGGAGAAAAGTGGACTACACGACTGTATTCTTTTAATTTCTTCTTACTGAATGATGAAAGTTGTGATGGTTCCATTTGAAATGGAAGTGGAGACAGGGTGGAGAATTACAACTGCTGACACCTTGATGGAAGCCTGGTGACCAGTGTAGGTTACTCTGCTGATGGCTCCTTGGAGACAGAGCCCTGGAGCAACACCAATACTGTATTCCCTGCAACACTGCCCTTCTCAGAACTTCTCTCGACTAGCGAATGCACAACAAACTCCACAGTTTGTCATTCCATACTTTGGCCTCCTTTTCCACTCTCAATTCTTACCCTACCACTCTCCTCAATAAGTGATATGTTTTGCTTCTTAAATTTCAAATCCTTTCAGGAAAGAAGAGTTAATTGTTTCCAGCTGCTCTTTATGGATTTTCATTCACCCTATGTAATAATACTTGCCATGTTATTTTATTTTTTGATAAATTTATCACATAAAAATTATAGTTTACTTTTTTCTCTTTCACCCTAGATTATAGGTTCCTTGAAATTAGGGCATATGGTTTTCATTTGTTTCCTCACAGGCCAGTTTGGCATTTGAGATATAGCAGACATTCAATTCAGGCTTATTAAGTAAAAAAGTATTTCTCATCGAAATGTATTCTGTGTTTTTTTTTTTTTTAAAACTTCACCATCTTTTTGACAGTGTCCTTGAAGGCTTGCTTTACTTGCTGATTTCTTAGCGTATAAATGAAAGGGTTCAACAAGGGGGTAACGGAGGTAATGAGGACAGCTATTCCTTTGTTGAAAGCACCCCCTTCTTTTGCAGAGGGGTTAATGTACATAAACATGCAGCTGCCATAAGAGAGGGAGATGACAATCATATGGGAGGAGCAGGTGGAAAATGCCTTTGTCCTTTGCTGGGCAGACGGGAGCCTCAGAATGGTCCTGATGATGTGTGTGTAAGAAAGCGTCACGAGCACCAGCGTAAGCACCAGAGTCACAACAGCCAACAGGATGACCAGCAGTTCTAAGAGGCTGGTGTCTGAGCAGGCGAGCTCCATGAGGGGCCCATAGTCACAGTAATAGTGGTTCAGCACGTTGGAGGCACAGAAATCTACCTGGCTCATCAGGATGATGGGTGGTAATATGGCTAGGAACCCCCCCAGCCAGGAGCAGAACACGAGTTGTATGCAGACTCTGCTGCTCATGATGGTCAGGTAATGCAGGGGTTTGCAGATGGCCACATAGCGGTCATAGGACATGGATGCCAGCAGGTAGAATTCAGTTGCCCCGAGAAATATAGCAAAAAAATACTGAGTCAAGCATCCAGAAAAGCTGATGACTTTATTACCTGTTGTCATACTGGTCAGAAATCTGGGAATAAAAATGGATGTGAAGGAAATTTCTAAGAAGGAGAAATTCCGGAGGAAGAAATACATGGGGGTCTGGAGGTGGGGGTCTAGAAGGGTGAGGGTGATAATAGCCAGATTTCCCAGGATGCTTAGCATGTAAGTGAGGAACAGAAAGATGAATATCACTACCTGGAGTTCAGGCTGATTCGTGAGCCCCAACAGAATAAACTCGGAAAGCATGGTCCTGTTTTTCATTGTTTGCCTCCAGTAGATCTAAAGAGAAAGGTGAAAACAGTGAAAACTGAGAATTTCTCATAGTAGAAGAGATCAATCTTATTTTAATCAACAGAATCAGGTCATATATTACACTTTTTTCAATTAGCCCAAACAGTGTCCTGTTGGGCTGCACCTGACTCCATGGGAGCCTGCATCGAAAGTGACCTCATTCCTAAGGTTTCTCCAACTCCTCAAGTTGATCTATTCCTTGGCATTTAGCAAAATGTAATATACAATAATTACTCAACATTTTTGCCAGAAGAATACATATTGAACTCTATTCTTTCCTCTCAAAATTTCCTGAAATCTCTACGTTTAAAATGCTTCTTCTATTAATCGCTCCTGCTTCTCTGCTCTTGGTGGGAATATCTCTGCATGATTCTGTTTTCTGTGCTCTCCTATCTCTTTCTTTCTTTTCCTGTACTATGCAATGCTTCATGGATGCCTGCTGCAGGTTCCCATCTCTGTCACTGCCCACACATCTAACATCTTTGACTCACAAGCAAGGAGAAATTACCCCATGAAGGCAATGCCAAAGACAGTCTCATTTTATATTGTGGCTTTTTCCTCTACATAAAAAAAACTGCAGACACTGATAAGTCATATTAACTAGTATTTTCTCATATGTTTCTCTGCCACATTTAGGGTTTGTAAGGCACTGAGTTGGGATATATCCCTGAGAGAGCCATAGGAGGATTTTGCTCCAAGTGTTAAAGAGTCCTCAATGGTAATGAAAAATAACAGCTCATCATGACCCAAACTTTCTTGTTCTCAATTCCTGGCTTAGAGGAACCCAGAAGAGAAGCACCTACATGTTACTCAGTACCAGCTCAGAGATATTACTGTGTGTTTTTTTTTTTTGACAGGCAGAGTGGACAGTGAGAGAGAGAGACAGAGAGAAAGGTCTTCCTTTGCCGTTGGTTCACCCTCCAATGGCCGCCGCGGCCAGCGCGCTGCGGCCGGCGCACCGCGCTGATCCGATGGCAGGAGCCAGGAGCCAGGTGCTTTTCCTGGTCTCCCGTGGGGTGCAGGGCCCAAGCACCTGGGCCATCCTCCACTGCACTCCCTGGCCACAGCAGAGGGCTGGCCTGGAAGAGGGGCAACCGGGACAGAATCCGGTGCCCCGACCGGGACTAGAACCCGGGGTGCCGGCGCCACTAGGCGGAGGATTAGCCTAGTGAGCCGCGGCGCCGGCCAGTACCAGCTCTTTGTAGATGACTTGGTAATTCCTGGAAAAAACTAAAGTGATGGTATCCCGTGTGAATCTTTGCATTTTTCTGATGAGGAGGTAAAGGTCGTATAGAAGGGCTTTTCTAATTCACATGGACATGAGTTAGAGAAATCACATAACTATAATCATGCTTGTCAACTGCCCCATTTTTCCAGGTACCTTTTGGGGGTACTAGGTGATGTGAAACGTTGACCTGGATGTCCCACAGCCCTCCCTCACTTCCCTGCTTGTACTAACCTGTGGTCTCTTCCAGGAACTGCATTTTCCTCCAGATTTTGCAGCTGATTGGTTTAATGATCCATATTTTTAGAACCTCAGTGATTTTAAAAACGCAGTACTCACATTTGGACAACCACAAAGGCTGTGGTGGGCTGTGTACCTTGTTGTTTCTAAGGGATAAATAAAAAATGAGATGTACTATGTGAATCGCCAAGAAGTATAAAGTTTAACATTTATTGTTGGCTTCCTATTCACATTCTTTACTTTTCTTAACAGAAATATCCAAGATTGTAGGACTTAACTAGGAAAAAAGTACAATATCTTCTGTTATAAGAATCCAAGTAGAAAGAAATCACAGTTCTTGAGAGATACAAATCCTTTACATGTGCAATAAAAAAGAAAAAGGGATACCCCACCCAACAGCTACAGAATTAGAAGACACTTCAATACACTGAAAATTCTATAATATTTTTGCTCTAAGAGAAATTACGTGGAAATCTTTAAGATGGCAGTGCACGGGCTTTCTTGCAGTTTCTGTGTTAGCTAGAGTGACATGTTTTTTTATCTGCTCTTTTTAGAGCAGGCACATGGGGATCAATTTTCTTAAGAAACTAAAGATGCCCTACAAATTCAAGTTCAAATGGTACTAATGAACCTCAATTGTTGACAACTTTGAGACCAAAATGAAAACATATGGTTGAGAAGAGAGGCCTCCAAAGAGAATAAATTAGAGGCCTTCAAAGAGAAATCCCCACGGATACCACGAGATAAAAATTCCATGAGAATATGCCCTAGCCTGTGGTTTGTGGATGGGTTTGAGCAGTGAGACTCCTGGGAATGGATGTGCCTGGCCTAGTCATTGTCTCTCCCTTTAATAATGCTGTTTGATTTGTGCTCATATCTAATATAAATGAATGACACTTCATAGTGAAATATGCCAACCTTAAGGTCAACGTATCCTTCATCAAGGTCCACATTCCTAATTGCTTAATCCATCCGATTTCCAACTGGAAAATAGTTGGCTGTTATAGATTCAAGTAATTTGTCCTATTTAATGTATGCTGATTTTTTAAAAAGATTTTATTTATTTGAAAGAGTTACAGAGAGAGAGGTAGAGACAGAGAGAGAGAGAGAATCTTCCATCCACTGGTTCATTCCTTAAATGGCCACAGCGGCTGGAGCCAAGCAGGAGATGGGAGTTTCTTCTGGGTCTACCACATAGGTGCAGGGGCCCAGGGACTTGGGACATCCTCTGCTGCTTTCCCAGGCACATTAGCAGGGTGTTGGATCAGAAGTGGAGTAGCTGGGACTTGAACCGGTGTCCATATGTGCTACTGGCACTGAAGACCGGGGCTTTAACCCTCTGTGCCACAGCACCAGCCCCTAATGTATGCTTCTGACCATGCCATTACCTTTGAAGGAACAATACACTTTCATGGGATATTGAAAGTATCCCTTGGGATATCTTAAGAACTATGTCAGTGTACGAAGTCTTTGCAGACTAAATCTTAACTACATCCAACTCTTTCTTCAGGAACACAGATATGACATTGTATTGATAATATCCTCATGTGAGCAAATTTGAAGGATATACAAAGATTTGTCATAGGATTTTTCAACTGGGATTGGGTCATTGCATTGCATAAAATTCAAGGCCTTGTCACTTCAGAAAAATTCCTGGACATTACTAATCAGCCCAGGGATGAGTTGGACCTCATGCGGTAAGGAATGAATTCCCTACTTTCATCAGCACTCACTAAATAGAGGGATCAACATTTATGGTGTTTATTTGAATTCCAAAGGTAATATGTTCCGCATTGACAAATTTTATTTAGATCTGTGTGCGTCTCACTAAGAATGGACCTTTCAATGACAGAATCTGTCTAAGTTGCTTACTTTCAATTTTCCAGTTGGTAACTGGGTGGAATAAGTAATTAAGAATGTGGATATTAATAAACCCAAGCTTAGTGAACTGAAGGTCAATCACCCAGAAGCAGCCAACACAATTACATAACTAGGGGCTATGGAGAGGATATAACAAACAAAGCAATGGCATAACTGTAACCCATAAAATATTTGCTTTGCTTTACTTCTGTGTTCACCCTGTAAAAGTCTCTGCATTGTATTTCCTCTGTGAAGCTTCTAAACCGTTCATGAATGATTGCTCAATTCATGAATCACTGCTCAAATAAACATTTTATTGTCTTAGTAAAGGACATAGAGAAAGATATATATCTATCTCTATATCTATCTCTCTCTATATATCCCATCTGTTGGTTCATTCTCCAAATGCCTCCAACAGCTAGCTATTCCAATTGGAGTGGGATGATATCTCATTGTGGTTTTAATTTGCATTTCTTTGATGACTGAAATATTGACTGTTTTGTCACATACTGTTAGCCATTTATAATTTTGTTTTGAGAAATGCCTACTCAGGCTTGCTATGCTTTGGATGTGATTTGTCCACCAAGGGTTCCTGTGTTGGAAGCTTGGTTCCTCGTTTAGTGATGTTGCGAGTGGATGTGGACCTTAGAAGGTGGGCCCAGAGGGAGTTCCTTGGGTCGTGTGGGCACTAACCTTAGTTCTAATGGGAGCCTGAATGAATTCTTGTGAGAGTGAGTTTTTATAAAAGCAAGCCTGTTCCTTAAAGCCCTGTCTAGTTTCCTGCCTCAAGATGTGGTCTCTTCCTGCTATGTGTGTGTCCACGTTTGTGGTGACAGCTTCCATGAGATCCTCTCCAGAGCCAACTTAGTACCAGGGCCAGGCCTTTGAGTCTCAAGAAATGAAAGATAAAGAAACCTCTTTTCTTTATAAAGTTAACCTGCCTCAAAAATTTTTTTTTGTTTTTGTTGTTATAGTAACAGCAGACTAATATGAAGGTACTTCCAAAAATTTGTGAAAAATAGAATTAAAAGATGTTTATTTTGGTGTAAAAATATTTAAACCCTTCATAAGACAAGGTCTTAAAAAACTTCATGGAAATGTATGTTATGAAAAAGCCTGTGTAGATTTCAAAATTCTTTTACACCAAAGTAAACTTCTCTCTCTTGCACTAAGGCACAAGAAAATGTTTATTTGAGCAGTGATTCATGGATTGGCTGCTCTAAATCAGAAGTGGTTTTGAAACTTCACAGAGGAAATGCCAAGGGGAGACTTTCAAAGGGTAAACACAGAAGTAAACCAAAGCCAGTATTTTATTGGTCAGTTATGCAGTTGCTTTATTTTTTATATCCCATTGGAAAGTCCCCAGTTATAGAAATGTGTTGGCTGCTTCTGATTGGTTAAGTTCTGGTTTTCTTTGATATAGGCATTTATAAGAAATAGCTCAAGATCTGGGGTGATGCCTGCTACAGGTACACCCTTATGACATCAGCTCTGCAGTGCAGAATTCAGTACTATGAGGGGGCGTGGCCTGGAGGACGAGTTACGCCCGGCGACCACTGTCTTGGATGCAGACTTGATCCACAGGTAGTTTGTGAAGAGAAGAAATTAGGACTGCCTTCTACACCAGGAGCCAGCCCCTTGAGGGCTGACGGTGGCCGCCGTGGCGCTGTACCCCACCAGCTGCCGTGAGACGGCCATGCTCCGAGCGTGGTAGCGTCCTTCAGGGAAACCTCGTTCCAGCGGCAGGAGCACCGGCCTCTTGGGGCCAAGCTGCCTAATATCCCCGGAAGTCGCATTGCATTCTACACCACACATTTATGTGGAAAGACGTTATATTCTTGAAGGCAATGAGTAAGTACAGGAGTATCTGCTCAGTTTAAAGATAGAATTTAAAAGAAACACTACAAGAGAACAAAAAGTGACTGAAAAAGAAGTATATAAGTTGCATGAAAGCAGAGCATTCGATAAGGCTGCCCAAGTCCAAGAATGGCCATTTCAAGAAGATACACAGGCCGACGCTGCGGCTCACTAGGCTAATCCTCTGCCTTGCGGCACCGGTACACAGGGTTCTAGTACCTGTCGGGGCGCCGGATTCTGTCCCGGTTGCCCCTCTTCCAGGCCAGTTCTCTGCTGTGGCCAGGGAGTGCAGTGGAGGATGGCCCAAGTCCTTGGGCCCTGCACCCCATGGGAGACCAGGAGAAGCACCTGGCTCCTGCCATCGGATCAGAGCAGTGTGCCGGCCGCGGCGGCCATTGGAGGGTGAACCAATGGCAAAGGAAGA